TATATATATATATATATATACATATTTTCTATGTATAATTTATATTTTAATTATTGTATAATATGCTTTTAACTTCAAGAACAACTAGCAAGTAAAAGAAAGTTAAATTTTTAATAACAAATAACTGCAAGTTTTGCAATTAAGGTTTTTTACTTAAGAACTTATGGCGTGGCCTAACGATGCTAATTTCTCGAATCGTAGCCTGAGCCATAGCTCCCAGAAGTGCTTCTGGACAGGAAACAAATGCAACATTTTTGTTACCATATCTTCTGCACAATGACATAACCTATAAGTTCAAAATAAATGCGTAATACAATAGCTGACAAATATTTCAATATTGTTAATTACTTAAACTTTAGATTATTATGTTTAACACTATTCTGAGAATACACTTATACAGCACTCGTTCATTTATGTATAAATTCCTTAATTGTTAAATGATAAGTGCAAGAATTTTCTTTGCTATTTTGCATTACTTTATGCAAATTTTGTAGACTTTTCAAAAATGCAATACCTGTAAATACAGTGCTTGTCATGTGATTAACTTCTAAGTTTCAAAAAACCGCTATTTATTTTGGAAAATAATGAAAAATTTCGGTTTCAATCTCATGCTTGGAATTCAAGAAGTGTTAAATTTTTATCACATCAGGCAGTTAACATTAACACCTTAATAAACAGAAACATTTATTTGAAATACAAACTGATTAAATGCTTCTATTCCGCTATAAAAATTTGAAGCGAACTTTAATGCTTCACTTTTCACTCGCAAATTTATTTGTTTCATGATTAATACCTTTATTACTGGGTTTAACAATGCTAGTTCATTTTAATAACCAAATACTAAGTAATCAAAAATTTGAAAACAAAAACCAAACTAACCCTATTTTTTAAATCATCTCTCTTTGTAACCCAAATAGTGTAAACATTTTTTGGATTTCTTCCCAAGCATACTTCCACCATAGGCAAGTCAGATTCACTATCACCACAAACTAGAATATTACCATCACATAATTTGCACCGAATATTCCCTACCATTAGAGCTATACCATGACCTTTGTTGAAAACAATCCCGTTTTTATCCTACAATAATTTCAGTGCATGATCTTTTTTCCTTTTCAAATTTTTATTTAATATGATTTTCATATTTGGTGTGAGGAGATAAATATGAAATATAAATATTCAATTGCTATTATTAGATTTTTTTAACTAGTTGAAAAATTATGAAAATTGGAAAAAAACTTGTCAATACTGCAAAATTTTAAACTTATCATTCTAACAAATTTGAAGTTGAAGCTTATCTATTCATGATGCAGCACATAAAATGCTTCTGAATCTATTATATCTCTTTCAATTTTTGCTTGTTATGACTGCAATATGCAAGTAATGATTTACAGTATTTAAAAAAACAAAACTTGTCATCATCAGCGATTACTTTGAAAGATGCTTATTACACTTTTCATTTCGTTTTTTATAACAGTACTTAAAATCGCTATTAATGCTTTTAATTAACCTTTAAAAAAATTTTGATATCCGTGTCTCCTTCTTTTACGACAAAAGTTCTTTGTGCTGCATCGATGTCGTAAACTATCTCGTAAATTTTTTTCAATCTGAACACAATAAGTATTATTATTTTATTTATCATTATGATAGTAAAAACTTAAAAATACACTAAGAATTTCAAAATTTACAATTATTTATTGATTTACATTAAACTTTTTGAAAAAATGAATAGATCTCATCTTAAATACTAATGTCCACTTTTCTATCATTTTCAATACAATATGATTTTATAGTATAATTAATATTTTCAGTATTATTTCATGCACTGATAATAAACAATGGACGTGACTGCTTTTGAGCACAATAACCAAACAAGTGATGATAATAAAGTCTTTAGAAATCTCAAATCTCCTGACCTCATAGAATAAAAATTATTCAATATTTATTGTTTTTAGCAACAAATTTCAGCATAACTGCAAGCAAAAGTGCATTTATATCTGCTTGCTCACAGTGTACATTTAAATTTTATTTTACGTCACTATTATTTAACACATTTACTTTAGTGTTTTTCAAAGATCAAATAATCAAAATATAATTGTTTTTTTAAGAAAAACAAACGATTAAATCTTTTATTGAACAATATTTACTGACTATTTAATTAGTTACTTATATTAATTTGTAGTAAATTTTAAAAACAAGACAAACAGCGCGTTAGACTGTTCCCATGGGACTGAACCATAAATATCCTGGTATGCAACAGTTAAATGACCATAATGCTTTTGTAAACCTGACCCAACACATTTGAAATATTTGAATTCCGGAGTATTTAGGAGCTCGTTTATGTCATCATACATCTATAAAGCTTTTAATTTTTTGTTTTCAAGTGATACTGAACACAAAAATGTGTATTCTTGAAGAGCTATATGCTTGGTATAATTATTAAATAATATATAAAAAAAAGCAGAACTTTGTTAAGCATTTGTAACTGCTCGGCGGTAATGCTTAAATCACGAAATTTATTATGAGGATCTATGAACCATTCACGTCCAGCAGAAGCACCATAATAGTAATAACCTAGAAAAATTATTTTTTAACCTCTTCTATAATCATTTTTTCGTAAGCGATTTCATAAATATATGCAAATATTTATTTACTTCTTAGATATTTTACTTTGTTTAAGGATTATTTTTAAATTAGCAATTTGAAAACGAGCAACACAACTTATTGTAGTTAAGCATAAGCTTGCATGATATTTCTGCTTTCCATTATCAGTGAATATTCTTTTTATAAAATAAAATAGTATTAAAAGTAAAATTAAACCTTCAGGCATTGTACTCACATCCAGTATGCCTACACCCATTAATGGCGATGTTGTAATAATAGCGCAAGTTTGTGCGCAACGTCGGGCAAACTGGGCCTTAATATTCAAATTATTTCAACTTTAAAGTGCATCAAAATAATAATATACAGCTGAGAAATTGTTCCTTAAACCAATTATTATATAGTACTTATGTAATTTATAGTAGTCAAGAATTTGCTTCCAAACTTAATTAAAGCATGTATAAATAATAAATTTTTTAAATTTATTTATAAATTTTTAAGCCAAGTGCTGCAGTAAAATGCTTTATAAATAATCAAGAATTAGTTTATTAAATAAAAATGCCAACCTAGTTCAATGAATTTATTTCCTGAAAGTAATGTTATCTTAATAAAAAAGAAATTTCGGATATTTGTTAAACAATAAGACATTTTACTGCACCATCAGTGAAAATTTTTCGAGAATATAGCATTTGCTTGATTATAAATTAGTTCATTTTTCGAAAATAACGATATGATAATACAAAATAAAGTGGTTTAGAATTTAAAAAAGAAAAATTAATGAACAAATTTAAAAAAAAAAATCGAAATAAGTATTTTTTTTAATTGTGCGCAAATTTTTTAATCTTGTACTTGTTATATGCTATAACTGAAATCAAAAGTTGCAATTTTCCAATAACCAATAATAAATTAATGTTTACATTATTGTAATAAATATAGTGCTGATTAAAAGCATATTTTTAATGATAGCTTTACTTGGATAACAGCAGCATAAGCTGGCTGTATACTAGCCTGATAACTACAACAATATGATTTCAAAGTGCCATCACGATCGGTAAAAAAATATTGAAAGTGATCAGCGTTGTAGAGAAGTTCAACTGCTCCAGCAACTTCTTCTTTAAATGCATCTGATGAAATTGGATGATAAGCTTGCAGCGTCTGAAATTCGCTATAAAATTCAATAACTGACCCATACAATTTTTCATCCTGGGCATTTTATGCTGTCCACAAACTTGTTTAGTAATTTAATACAACTTTTTTATCAGTTCCATAAAGCTTTATTAAAATATTATTTATTGTTTTGTTGTGAATTTCTATTGCTTTTCTGTAATATTTTCATAATTATTAAGTTATGCTTCGAAGCCTTTTACCAATTTTTAATGCTTTTTCTTTAATTTAAAACTTCACAACAAAGTTTTGAAATTTTATAGCAATCATAAAATTTTCCCTTCATTTCAAAAAATATTCTTTGAAAATTGAATAAATCTCATAGACTATCCTAAAAATTTTTTATACTTTTTTGTATACTTGCAATGATTTTTTAGACCTTTCTTTTTACGCAAGTTTTTAGTAGTGTATTGCTTAACATCACTATTTAATATAATATAGATGAAGCGTATATCATAATGATATTTGTCTTCATTTTCATTTAAATTTGGCCTCTTTGCGAAATTTCACTTGCAATTTAAAATTATCAGTTTTAATAATTTTATAACTAAATTAGCAATGAAAAAATATTTCTTGCTAACTAACATCAACAAACTGTTCAACATTGTTGACATCGTCACTTTGAATAAATTTAAGAAAACTAAGATCTTTTTCAAATTCGTCCAGTTCATTTTTAATATCAAAAGTGGAGTAGTCTGCAAGATCTTCTTCTGATGTTGTCCTTAGACTCAGCTCAGTAGAATTTGTTTCACAACTTAATGCCAATGAATCTAGAGCATTCTTCAGTGAAACAGCAAAATGACTCCGAATGGGTATGCCTTTCAAAACACGTTCCACAATTTGACGTCTAACATTACGTGTTTGTAACATTATCGTAAAAAAATCTTCCAAAGTTTTCACCTAAATTTTTAATGTCGCCAATTTGTTTTTTTTTTTTTCAAAAATTTCAAATATCATTATCATTCAATTACGCTATCAAACAGCCCAAATTCACTTACAGATTTTAGAGGATTCAGTGCTTGAAGCTTACGTAATCAGTTTTACCAATTTCAAATTGCCGTTAAGGGCTAATGAAAAAAATTTCTTTTTATAATCAAAATTTTTAAATGCAACAATTGCTTTTATCTTAACAAATTAATTTCATTAACAATTATAATTCAATGAAAATATTTAATATATTTATTGCAAAAACAGTAAAAATTTTGTTTCAATGATATTTGAGTAACAGAATAATTTATAAAAATATAAACTTCTAAAGTTTTTCAACAAAATATCTATTTCAGTTAATGATAATTACTGCTTTTTTTTTCGAATATTAACAACTTGTCATCACTGAATTTTCAAGCACTGAATCCTCTATACGAAAAATTTTGTTTGAATTCATTACGCCTATTAATTTAGCAATAAAAATTTGGCAATTAAAATAATGTCTACAGTGCAACATTCATCGCGATAGCGGTAAAGTAGCAATTCAAATTTTAGAATAATCAAAGACTCTTGCCTCAATTGGTCGTATTACTTGATGAGTCCACGATGGATCTAAAAATGCAGCACTCCATTTTTCAATATCATTCGCAACAATAAAATCATGAAGTTTTGATCCATTTGATTTTTGAATATCGAAATCTTCAACCGCTGCTTCATAAAATGCATCAGCGTAATTTTCTAAATCATACAAATCTGCAACTCTTTTGTAGCACTGATCACCATTTTCCTTATAAAATCCAGCCTCTGTAAACTGTACTTCACTACCAGCTCCTGTTGATAATATCAATCCTGCATTTGGATTACACAATAACATTTCTTTAGCTACCTGAAAAAGCAAATATTTTTATCAAAATAAGAATTTAACAAAGTTACAGACAAAGGACAACAAATCATATATAATCGTAAGCAATTTAAGTGTTAAATATAAACATTAATTTTTTGTTTGAAAAAAAAAAGAAATTTATTAGTGTGAGAAAAAATAATTGCAATAATATCTTGTATTTGTTTTAAAAGTAAGTACTTCTATAATCTAAAATTTTTAATTTTCATATTTGCAAAAATAGCTCTAACCAAATTCATGCCATCTTTTTTTGGTGTGACAACGCCAACATCCATTGCCAGATAACAAGCGACAAGATCTTTGCGAGGTAATCCATCTGTAGTGAAAATAAGTGGTTTCCAATTTGGTCTTTCAGGACAGACACAAGTTTTGATAATACCTTCAGCTAGCAAAATACATTCATCTTGATAAATGCGATAAGTATCTACACTACGTCGATTTGTTACAGCAACCTAAAAATACAAACAAAAAAAAGATTAATTTGTGGCTTGATTATCTTTTAATTATTACATAATTTTATTCATATAATCAACAATTTTCAAATTGTTAACTGAATGTAAAGCTTTACTCTTTTTACTTCTCTTATTGCTCTTTACTTTTTTGTTCCAAGTAATCCTTAAAGCAGATTCTGTATTTGCAGTCAGCTTACAAAAATATTTTCTAAAAACATATACATATATTTATATACCTGGTAGAGAACATCTTTTCCAATACGATCTGGATATTTTTCAAAGTACTTCCTGTATGCCAACAATTTTTCTTTAATTCCTTTAGTATAATCAAATCGCTCGACAGAAAAAAACAATTTGGCATCTTTCGGAGCGTCTGGTCCCATTATCTTTAATTAAACTAATTAAAAGTTATTTCTACTCATGTTTTGCTTTTTAGTACTCTGATAATATTAAGCAAAAATCAAATCGAATTTTAACTAACAATAAAACAGAAAATTTCATACAGTTTCTCTTATTTCTTTAGCTTTTCGACTTGTTTCAGGTAATCGAACAAACTGCATAAAATCTTCATTTTTAATAGAAACCGGAAAAACACCAAGTGAACTAGTCCATGCTTCGTAAGTCACACAGTAAATATCATTTGAACTCTCATAATTTATTTCACACAAGGGTAAATGAAGACGGCAAAGTTCAATGAATTTGTCTCGATCTCGATGAGTTTGAAATCCAACCTAAAAAAATATAGTATTGAAAATTATCAATAACTTCAACTGTTTCAAATGAATACGAATTGATTGCCATTATCAAAATGTATCAGTGATTTGAAACAAATTATTTTTGCAAATTATCATACTTATTACTAAAAATTATTACTTTTATTGCTAGAATCTTTTATTACCAATTATTTTCGAGTTTTATTCCTTATATTAATTTTTTCTAGTTATTTCTTTCTGAATGAATCAAACTTTTGATTCTGAAGCAGTCAATAGCTAAAGAAGATGACATTTAATCCGAAGGTAATAACAAAAATAATCGAATTAAAAAAAAATTGTTCGTAAATAACTTTGATTAATTTTATATAATGCGCACAATTTTTGCATTTGTGATGAATTTTATTCAATTGCATTACTTTGGTGAATCGTAACAAGCCACGCAGAAGTGGAAATCCAATTAATGCATATTTCTCGAAAAAACTTTCTGATGGTTGAAATGGTATATGAAGGAAAAATCCGACCGAAAACAATTCATATCCGTTAGTATTTTAAGCAAATAATACAATGAATTGAATATTTAGATGACTTTCAAAAATAAGCTAACTTTTGATCATATAAGTAAGTACAAAAAGTGAATTAAACAAAAATTAAGTGGTATTTAGCTCATGACACAATGAGTTAGTTTTTTAATCTCAGGACAGATTTATATTAACTCAAATAATTAATTTGATATTAATTACATCTGAATCTAGCAAACAAGAAAAGAATGAAAAAAAAAAAAGATACTTCGAGATTTTCATCCAAACTTTGCATAATCATTCCAGTTAGCACCAAGTGATAATCATGAATCCAAATAAAGTCCTATAAATTCTTCTTTTCCAAGTTTAACTCATTAGTTTATTTTTTTATTATTTAGCATTATCAAGAATGTTGAAAAGTAATTCATAAATATTGAAAATACCTAATTATAGAAAATACAATTACACTCTTTAATAGTCTTCAGTGTAACTGTTACAAAAATATTTGCATATTTAATAATTGCTAATCGAGTAAGCAATAAATTATAACTAAATTTAAAATTGTTTGGATTTTTCAAAAATTTTTTTGAAAATTCTAATTACTAATAATGCAATATGAATGCAATGCATTTAATCGTTTTACTTTATATTAAAAAAATATTTTACTTTTAAAAACGCAATAAATTATAAAAAAATTTAAAATTGTTTAAATTTTTTGAAAATTTTTTATAAAAATTACTGAGGTATATAAAAAGAAGCTACCTTTTATGAGTTAATTCTGACTAATTAATACATCAAATAAATTATAAAACGTTATTGTAGGCAGTCAACATTGACTGCACTTTATTTGAAGCGAGATTGCAGTTTTACTTCTCGAATAAATTTATTTATTAATTTATCATAATTGAGTTTTACTTTGATTTTCATTTCAATAATTATACTACAATAATTGAATTGAATGGATTTATCGTTATAGATTCACTCACTTGTGGACGACTGTTTCTGACGGCATCAATAGCAAATTGATAATTAACTCTCACATATGCATACCAGTGTTCGCGCACAATCTTTGAATAAATTTAAACTTATATTTGCAAGTATTATACAAATTCCATGTATGAATAAATATTTAGTAATCAATTTTTTATCAGAATACTTAATTTTTAAATTTTGAAATACTAATTTATATTCTTTATCAAATAAATAACTAGCAGAAACTTTTTGACAACATTAGGTAATATTAATTGTTAACAGAACTGATAATGATAAACAAAAAAAAGTAACTCCACAAAATATATTTTTTGATGAATATAACCTTAGGATCATTATATTCTTTTACAATGTATTCGTCTAAGTTATGCAAGGCTGGCCATAATAAACCATTACTAATTCCACCATAATATACATTGTAATCATCTTCTTGAACAATAACTGGATTTAGTTTATAATTTCCTCGATTATAATTATGCAAAACACCCAGTAATGACATTTCTTCTCTAAAACTACGCAAATTTTTATTTATTACTATAGCAAGACACTTGAAATAGTGATTAAGTAATCAAAAAACTAAGTATACGATTTTGATTTCAATTTAAAACAAGCAAACAAAGCAATTAAAAAAATGCTAAATATTATTGGGAATTTTCGAAATACTTTCAGAGCAAAAAAAAATTTGTCAAATATAAAATTTTAGTAAATTCAAAAGCCTTTATTTCATGAAATCTCTCCATAATACTGTCATATTGAAGCGCATGATAATGTTTTATAAACTTTTACATGTTTCTTCTTTTTGACTTGATAGTACTACATCGTATTTCTATATTATCAAAGTTTCTCGGAGTATACAAGTATAAATCAGTTTTTTGCTGATTAAGTATAGCATTTTCAAATAATTTCTGTCATCTTAAAATAACCAAGTTATGAATGATTTTTTATAAGATGATTGTTTTAAGAAACTTAACTAGTGTTATTCGATTTCAATTATGAATTCTACATTATCAAGCAATAAAAATGATAAATATTTTTCTATGATCATATCTGTAATAAATGCAATAAAACAATGATATAAAGTATGAAATGTCAAAAAAGCAAATATTTTTACCAATAATTTTTCTTTTAAAAAATTCAATATTTTCACTGTTTATCAATTTTCTACACCGTTCTTGCATCTACCATAACTGATATAAATAAGAGTTACTTAATAACTTAATTATTCTTCAATAATTGACCAAGTTACTTTTTTCAAGAAATGTGTTTGATGAAAAATTCTTCATTACCTCGCAGTTTTATTTTCAGCGTTCTGTTCTTTTTCATCTGGTTCATCTGCTAGTACATGAAATAGTACATCTGCATTTGCTTGCTTCAGCAACGGTAATCCTAAAATCACTTTTTTTTTCATTAGTTTTTTGAAACATTACGATCCTTTCTTTTGAATAAATGGAGCTCTGTAAGCAGAAAGCATGAATTTAGCACTTAAGATTCATCAATTTTTTGAGACATTCAAAAATTAACCTAACGTATTTGTTGTCGGTTGTATATTTTGGGTTTCTTGATGTCTTCTGCAATAAAAAGTTTAACTGTAAATTTTCACATCATACAAATTTAGCATATTCAATTACCTTAATTGATAATATCAGGCAGCTAAGTCTCTGCTGATAGCAAGCTTCTGTTTCTATTGCAAGAATAAGCCATATGCAAGAATGTATTAAATGATTTCAAATGTTATTTGTAGTAATACAATAGTGTGCATTATTTTAAGCTCACACCACCATGCAGTGTAAACTTATTAAAGTTTTTTAATTTTAATTTATCAATAAAATATAAATTGTTATTGAAAAAATTAAACTCAGATTAATATATCGCTCAAAAATTTAAAACATTTCTTAAAAGTTAATTGAAGTTTCTTAAAATTTTTACAAGAAAGTGAATTTAGAAGTTGAAATGATAAGACAAGTAATCTTTTACGCAAGATTCGCTTTTCAATTTTACTCTACAAAATTTACGATGAAAATTTTATTAACAAAAAAATGATCAAAAAGTTTTATTTTCCATAAGTAATCATTATATTTACATTGCATTTATTACTTTGTACAATAGTTTTGTGAAGAAATTATTATCACAAACAACTTACTTGGGTTTTTTCTGCAAATTCATTCCAAGATTAGCAAGCCAAACATTTTCTTTATCTTTGGACATCACTGGATCAACTGCTGAAACTAAACCACCAGAACCTTGTTTAATCTCCCATTCACCAGTTTTTTCACGCTTCAAACTAACTGGTGGTGCATTTGATACATTGATTACACGCTGCTAAACAAAGTTTAATAATATGCATATACTATATAATAAATAGATTTAGAGATGATCATAAAATAATATTTGATCATCTCTAAATCTGGTACTTAGAAGTATTATAAACAACATTAAATATGGATTTTAATGAACATTTAAGTATTTGAGATTTTTAAGTAACGAAAAGAAGAAGCAGTCATATTTAAACTTTATCTAAAACACTGCAAAAAAATATTACTCTTTATGTAAAGCAAACTTGGAATACAATTCAAAACTTAGTAATAAAAACCTGAAAATGTGTGTTCGCTAGTCCTCCACTTGCTATAACTTCTTTCGATAATTCATTTGAATTTGAAGTACTTTCAGGCTCTGCACTACGTGAGATTGATCGACGTATTCGACGGGATGACTTCACATAACTCGAAGTACTACGTTCTGTCATGCGGTTACATTAAAAATAATTGATTACTATCTGCACGACTATTATCATTTGAATAAGTATGTGTTGCAATAGTTGTTAATGCAAATTTTTTGACTCTTTGTAAAAATTTAAAAATGGAACACTAAAAATGACAAGTCTGATCATTTATAAGTATTTAAAATGTCAATATGTTTACGAGAATTGGCGTATGATCGCTTTTAAAATTCTAAGAAGTGTTACAAGTCAAAAAAATTCAATACAAAAATATTTGTCAGTTTTGTCGGAAAAAGTTTAGAAAAAAAAAGATCTGGGATGTAAAATAATTTTAAAATAAAACAAACTATATGAAGAGCTTTGGGATCGACTTCTACTGTCAGTAGATGAAGTTGCGCTTTTATCACTAGATTGAGAAT